TGGTGCGCGTTGAAAGCCTGTAACTAAAAGGCAGTCTTAATCTACCTACTGGCTTGTATACAATTTTTTTGCCAATTTTTAGGCACTTTGCTAAGGCACCCCTGAAGAAACTTGGAGGCACGCTGGCTGAGAAAGTCTGACCTAGATCATCGCCAAAAAAAGTGTTTAAAACTTGCACTTATCCTAATCCGTTTTAAATCTTTTACATTTTCTAGCATGGAAATCCTGCTCTGCTTTCTTTTTACAAAGACTAATGCAATAAACTGTTTTTTATAGGAAATAATTCATTATATATGCTTCAAATTGGGATAATGCTTAGTTTATATTTTTTAATGTCTCCATTCATATAGCATAACTTAAAATATTTTAAAATTGCTGCTTACCTTTTTACATGCTGTATTCTGCAAACTCTAGCACTGTAAAATTCTACTAATTCTGTTTTTTTGAGGGCTGTGAACTGTTTGCCTCAGGTACCCTATCTGTACTGTGCTGGCAGATATCACCTCATCAGTTGTAAATTAAATTTAGAGCAGAACTCTGGGCAAAAACTTATTTACATGTCCTTGTTGCTGATTTCCTACCTTCACTGAATATGTCATCTACCTTTTGGTTCACTCAGTAGTTGCTCTGAAATAGCCTATTCATTTTCAAATCAAACCGTCAGTTCTCTTTAGTTTCCTGTTTGTAAAATCAGTGGCTGCTATGCCACCTATTCCCCCAGTCACTGGTCTTGGCACATCCCCTCTGTAGTTCTTTCTTCAACAATGAGTGATGTAATTCAGCTCCACTTGCAGTGGTGGGTAGACTGAGACTCTCAGACACATTCAACATGTACAGACCTAGTGTACCTTCCCACATTCTCTACAATGTAGGGGGTTGTACTAATGGGTGATTTTGTTGCCTATTCCAGAGTCCTTCGTTAAGCACTTTCTCTCTTAACAAAGGGTTAAACATTTAGAAGTTGGGCTATATTTCATGGTATGTTAATGAGAACTGCATTTAGCCAGAGCTCAGCCTTTTTATTGGGACAGATCAGTGATAATCTTGAGAAATTCTTGTCTTCAGCCATGACACCTTCTTCTAAGAGATGTCTAAAAAATTAAGAATTTTTTTCTTTTTATTTTTTTCCTTCATTTCAATATGTTTTGTGAATAGAAACACATAAACATATAGATGGTGGAAACTACATCCCAATAAAATGTAAACTTTAGTGTATTTCCACTTTTGAACATTTAGAAATATATTTATATATTATTTATATTTATTGGACACACTTGGTAGTGTAATGCATTGTTTGCACACATTTGTATTTTATTTTTTGTTAGTGTTTTGTTTGCACAGGTGTATTCAAAACATTTCTCAGCAAATGAGTATGGTTAGAATGGCACGTTAACACATGTAGATATATGGTAAATAGACATTGAAATAATTATATTTAATCTTTATTTTGTTATTTTCACATATTACATAAACCCCTCTCCCAATTACAGACTTGATATATCATCAAACTGTCATAGGTTACAAAAACTAGTTACAGCATAACAGCTCTTCATGCTTTCATTCAAAATCACTAAGATTCCTCAAAATATTTACTTTAAAAGCTTGATGGGTAAAATCCAAGCTTTCCCTTCGTAGGCCCTAACCCTTAATGGTTACAGTTAAACTATATTACTAGTACGCATTAGAACATGCATTCTTAAGACTCATATATCAACCTACAACCCAAGAATAATTCAAGTAAAAAAAAACAACAACCCCCCACGTCCAGATTTTGCCAAGAAACCCACCCAAGCCAGTTAAGAGACTATATTTAAAAAAAAGGAAGGGAGAGGGGTGAAGGTATACCATCTATAATCACCTTCACCCTCATAGGTATTGTGAAAATGTAACGAAGGTTGAAAACGTTCCCAATGCAGCCACTCAGCTGTATCCTCTCTTCAGTATGGATCATCTGCTCCATTGCCCGGATCTCGTTTGTTTCTCATACCCATTCCGCTGTCCAAGGGCAGACTGCCTTTTGCCAATTGCGAGTTATAACAGTCCGGGGTGCATTAAGCATATGATGTCAGATGCTTTTTCTAATATGTTTAATAGAACCTGGAATGAATGATAGTAAGGTAATATTAATAACTAATTGAAGAGAAGAATCTGTAATTTCTTGCAAAATGTGAAATATTTTTGACCAAATTGGGAGTGTACATTGGTGATAAATCTGAGACATGGTACCCCGTACAGTTAAACATCTCTAGCAGGTCTCTTGATTACCAGAATCTATATTATGCAAATCTACCGGACATCGATACCATCTGGCCATGATTTTATAATTCTGTTGGTGTTTAGCTGACATTTGATGATTTATGAGTCAATAGGAAAGCTTTTATCCCAATCTGAAGGAGAAATCAGCAAATCCATCTCATATTCCCTTTTGGCCAGAAATACTAAATCAGATAGATGATTATCACAAAGCAACAGTTTATATACATTGGAAAGAAGATGAGTCGGTCTCTGCTCCTGTATTAATAATTGTACAAAATTCATCAAAGGTCTATGTATTGAAGAAATCTGTGATAAAGAACGAATATATGTAAGAAGCTGACAGTACTGCATCCATCTGGACTTCCCGCAGGGTCCCATACAAGCGTGGGGGCGAGTTTGCCATCAACTAGGTTCTGGACCAATCTAATGTCTTCTATATTTTGCCATTTCAGAAAGGATGGGGCATATAGCGCTGGGGGAGATTCTGGTTTAGAAAATAAAGGTTTCATAGGTAGAAAGACACCCTTAAGAGAATCCCAGACTTTTAGCGTGGAGGAAATTAAAAAGGGCCTATCTTGCATTGAAGGATGGAGATGATGGGGTAAACATGGTAACGATTTAAGTTTCAAAGAAACAATCTCTCTCTCCAAGGCCACCCACTGTTTAAAATTTGCATTATGAAACTAGTCCACAATGGTCATAAATGTTACACGTAAATATAGAGTAAAATCTGGGAGTGCAAGACCTCCCTTAGATTTCGCTCTAATTAAGGTAGTTCTCTTAATTCTGGAGGGTTTGAGCCCAAATAAATCTCCTTAGAGCTTTTCCTAGTTGGTTTAGCAAATTAGATGGAGGAATTAAGCGGACTGCTTGGAATACATACAATAAATTTTCACTATATTAATCATACCTATCCAGAAGAAAATGATATATTGTATGTTTGAAGCAACTGCATAACTGTACAAAATATCGGTGAATAATTTAATTCTTGAAGTTTAGATAGATCCTGGGGGGTATAAATCCCCAAATACTTAATAGCCATTGTTTGCCATTTAAAATAAATTTTTTATTGAAGGTTCATTAGAATTCTGTTGCTAAAGATATTATTAAAGCTTATGATTTATCTTAATTAACCTTAAAATTACTCAAGGCTCAAAAGCAATTAAGTTCTAATGTTTGGAATAGTCACCACAGCATTAGTGATTATCTAACAATAAATTATCCGCATAAGATGACATTTTATGTTCCTCGTCCTTAATCGTAATCCCTTGAATATCAGGATTATTACGAATGGCCGTATTCAGATGTTCCATAAGTAACACATAAAGGAGGGGTGACAAAGGGCACCCCTGCTGAATGCCATTTGAAATCCTTATTGAGTCAGAATTCTGTTTGTTCGTACTCTAGCTCTCGGATTAAAATATAGAACCATGATTTTCTGAAAAAGGTGGGGACCTATCCTGAATTGTTGGTATAGAGATCAAAGAAATTAGTTGACGTAAAGCCCGTGGAAGAAGGCTACCTGGTTTATTTCCAAGTTTTATCACAAAGCCGCAGATCATTTTTACATAATAGTCGTAATTCTGTAAGTTTATCCGAGAGACCCACTAAATTATCCAAGTGTGGGATTTTGCTTATGAATGGTCTTTAACGTTGCAATTTCCTTTAACAGAGAAGATCTTTTACAGGATTTATCTGCTTTCAGTCTAGTACCATGTTTGATGAATAGACCCCGTAAAGCACATTTTAAAGCTTCCCATTGCAAGGAAAGGGAAGTTAAATCGGTTTCATGAATCACTATAAAATCCAGGATCGCTTGACCAATTTCTGACAAATATTGAATCCTTAAGGAGATTATTTAATCTCCAAGACCAACAAAAAGTTACATAGTCCGGAAGAATCAATTCCCAAAAAACAGGGGCATGGGCAGAGCATAGAAAATTTCCTATTGATGACCTAGGGGTCATAGTCAGACCAAATTGACCAATAAGGAAAAAGTCTAGTCTATGATATGTATTATGCGCCACCAAATAGAATGATTAATCTCTACCTGCTGGGTGTAAGATCCTCTATACATCAATCAACTGATGTCTGTCCAAAGCACATTTACATTTTTTCAGTGATTGATGGCATGGGGAGGATGAGAAGCAATAGTGTCCAGACTTTGATCAAGGATGAAGTTAAAATCTCCCCCAATAAGAATAACCCTTCCGATCATTGAGGAGGTCCAAAGACCGTTCTAATTTGGATGACATTGAAATAATTATATTGTAGACCAGCGCTACCTTTTTTTTTTTTTTTTTTTTTTTTTTTTTAAGTTGGTTTGGGTTCCAACAGAATAGCAGCAGCGTCTCAGGACTTTATTGATGTTTTCACAGGATTGGTTTCCTTCACGTGGTAAATAGATATGTGTAAGACACTATTATTTTATAGAATTGGCACTTAGGTCAATTTGGTTCTGAAATCCTGAAAACGTGCTGTGGCGCTGTTCAAAATAAGATTTCATTTGTAGTGTCCACTTTGCTTTTAAATTGCTGCTACTAAAAATTCTGGTGTTCATGCAAAAGGAGATCACTATTACTTGAGGTATTTTCTAATTTAAATTCTGTACACCTTTAAATGTGAATATTAATGTTCATCTTTACTAAGAACCGCTTTGGTATTGCTGGTTTGTAGTGCTTTTAACTATAAAACAAGCTATACTTTAACCATATAACTGTCATTTGTCTGTTTTTCCTTACTAGAACTGGGATGATTATAGCCACCATGCATTTATACAGAACCATATGTCCTATCTATTGGAGTTGCTTTTGGATCCAGATCAGCTTACTAAATCCTACCACTCAAGTGAATGCAGCCTGTTGTCCATTGGTGCAGCGCGAGCATTGGGCTTTCTTATTGAGGGAACTATGGATAAGAATAGGACTGTCCATCCTTTTGTTGATTTAGCTACCTGGCAGCCTTTACATTCCAAAAGTGGTTACTCTAAAACAACCGAATCATTTTCACTGAGCAAGCTACAGGCATGGATAAAGGATAGTTTCGTGATAAACCCATTTGGAATGTCAGCCTGTGTCAAGTCTGGTAAAACGTTAGCATGGGCAGAGCAAAGTAAGTGTTTAATATTTGTTGTATCTAAGCTTGATTGACGTATAAGTGTGATGTGTTTCAGATCAATTTTCACATACTAGGATGGAAATAGAGCTGGGGATCCTAGTAGATCACAGGTTCAGTAATAGCATGCAATGCCAAGCTGCAGCAAGCAAGGTTAGTAGACTGTTTGCATTAAAAAGGTTATTTACCCAAGAGATAAAAATATAGTTCTACCACTTTACAAAACTCTGGTTAGGCCACATCTTTAGTATGTCATCCAGTTCTGGCTACCAGTCTTCAGAAAGGATGTCCTTCTGTTGACTATGTTACATGTATTTGTGAATACACCCCAATCCTTGTAGGAGTATTTACATGTACACCGCTAGATCTGAGAGTTCCTACACAAAATAGGTAGTTCCATCTGCAATATACATTTATTGATAGAGGTACATAATATATACAAATTACACGCTAAGCATTATTTACAACACAATGTACAGTTTAAGTCTCTTGACTTATACGATATTTACAATTTACCCACAAAACCATGTTTAAAATACAACGTACAATACAAGTAAGAAGTTAGTTTTACCTCTCAACTTCAGGTTTAGTCATCCTGCCTGCTGTGTGTCTCATCACCAAGAGCGCTCCAGCTGGGTGACCAGGCCTTATATCCCCCCTCCTGTCTGTACTGTGGCTAATATAATGCTCACTAATTGGACACTGTACCTAGCCAATGTATATTGGGCGCAGCCTGATTGGAAGTTCACAGAAGGCTGCTGTTTACCACTCATGTGAGATATGCTAAGGGAACAAAAGGCCAGAACTTGTAATACAAGTTTGACGTTAGAAAGTTTTTATGCTGCAAAACACTCAATGGTTTAAATACTGTATATTTCCATCTAACTAAAATATACTTGTAATTATAACATTATTTACATCCATTAATGGAGATTTCACATAAACTCATTATCTAACACTTCTCTAGACTCTCCAGTTCCAGCACAACAAAGCTAATAAAGGGCACTGGGGGGAGCTCAGTTATAAGGAAAAACTACAAACAACCTTATTCTCCCATAGAAGAGACATTTAGGAGGGGATATAATATACAAATATCTAAATGGTGATCCTAGCATAAGGAAGAAACTATTTATTCAGTCTAAGGTCTCTAAGACGACACGTGGCCACGTAATGAAATTGGGTTGAGAAGTGGTTTATCTTTAGACTGTAAGGGGTTCTTTACTGTAGAGTGGTGAACGCCTTTCTACAATTGATGTTGTTAGCAGGGAGTGTTGACAATTTTAAAATGTTTTGTGGACATCCTAGTGAACACAATATACAGAGATATGGGAAATGATAGTGATTGACACACACGTGCTGAACTGGATGGACTAGTGTAGTTATTCAACCTTAGCAACTATGTAACTGTAATCCATAGGGGAATGTAGAATCCTTTGCAATAGATACAAATTGCCCCTAATTTGGTCATGCATCCAAATTTTAGCAATGTCAAATATAAAGCAAACAATCCAAATTAATCCAAACAGATTACCAACCAGAAGTCATAAAACCATTAAAGTGAAACTTTCTAAAAACCTTTTTACTTAGAAAAAAAATATAAATACACTATATTGCCAAAAATATTGGGATGCCCCTCCAAATCATTGGATTCAGGTGTATAAAATCCAGCAACTTGGCATGCAGACTGCTTCTACAAACATTTAGTGAAAGAATGGGTCGCTCTCAGGAGCTCAGTGAATTCAAGCGTGGTACCGTGATAGGTTGCCGCCTGTGCAGTAAATCCATTCGTGAAATTGCCTTGCTACTAAATATTCCATGGTCAACTGTTAGGGGTATTATAACAAACTGGAAGCAACTGGGAACAACAGCAATTCAGCCACTAGGTGGTAGGCCACATAAAATGACAGAGCGGGGTCAGCACATGCTGAAGCACACAGTGTGCAGAAGTCGCCAACTGTCTGCAGAGTCAATAGCTAAAGACCTTCAAACTTCATGTGGCCTTCAAATTAGCACAACAGTTCATAAAGATCTTCATGGAATGGGTTTCCATGGCCGAGCAGCTGCATCCAAGCCTTACATCGCCAAGTGCAATGCAAAGCATCGGATGCAGTGGTGTAAAACATGCCGCAACTGGACTTTAGAGAAGTGGAGATGTGTTCTCTGGAGTGACCAATCAAGGTTCTCTGGCAATCCAATGGATATGTCTGGGTTTGGCGATTGCCAGGAGAACGGTACTTGCATGACTGCATTGTGCCAAGTGTAAAGCTTGGTGGAGGGGGGGGGATTAAGATTTTTTTTTGTTTTTCAGGTTTTGGGCTTGTCCCCTTCGTTCCAGTGAAGAGAACTCTTAAGGCGTCAGCATACCAAGACATTTTGGACAATTTCATGCTCCCAACTTTGTGGGAACAGTTTGGGGATGGCCCCTCCCTGTTCCAACATGACTGCGCACCAGGGCACAAAGCAAGGTCCATAAAGACATGGATGAGCGAGATTGGGCTGAAGGAACTTGGTTGGCCTGCGCAAAGTCCTGACCTCAACCCAATAGAACACCTTTGGGATGAATTAGAGCAGAGACTGCAAGCAAGGCCTTCTCGTCCGACATCAGTGCCTGTCCTCACAAATGCGCTTCTGGAAGAATGGTCAAACATTCCCATAGACACACACCCTAAACCTTGCGGACAGCCTTCCCAAAAGAGTTGAAGCTGTTATAGCTGCAAAGGGTAGGCCAACTCAATATTGAACCCTACGGACTAAGACTGGGATGCCATTAAAGTTCATGTGCGCTTAAAAGCAGGCATCCCAATACTTTTGGCAATATAGTGTATATTAGTAGTCCCCAAAATAAGGTCCTTACTGCCCTATATTGGTAAGATTATGGCATCAAGTGTTAATCATGTTCAGTAATTACATTGTATCATTCAAATACCTGTGGCTATTACGAAAGAAACCTTTTTTTATATGTTTTTAAATACGTTTGTATGTGCTATTTGCTATGTAAAAATGAGTAACCTGTATAACAAAGTCTTATAGTATTAGTGACTTTAAAAGATCTCCATAGAGATTTTGTTCTGATACAGTATGCATTATCAACTGTGTGGCCTATTATAGAGAGGTGAGTGTGTGCCTTTCAAAATCATTTCCTAACAATCAAATTCACCAAAGGTGTACTCCAATCATGGTGCCGAAACATCTGAGCTATGATTAAGAGAAAGGGGAGGCACCTCAACTAGTGGTGTTTCAAACGGTCTGAATACTAATGCCAATGATATTTCAGTTTTTCTTTTTTCATAAATATTTGCAAACATTTTCAAAATTCTTTTCTCACCTTGTCACTATGGGGTACTGAGTGTAGATTAAGGAGGAAAAAATTTTAAACAACTGAAGTATCAGGCTACAAAAAAAATAAAATTAAAAAAGTGAAGGCGGTCCGAGTACTTTATGAATGGTGTGTGTGTGTGTGTATATGTATATATATATATATATATATATATATATATATATATATATATATATATATATATATATATATATATATATATATATATATATATACACAGTGCCTTGAAAAAGTATTCGTACCCCTTGAAATTTTCCACTTTTTTGTCATGTTGCAACCAAAACCATAAATGTATTTTATTGTGGTTTTATGTGATAGACCAACACAAATTGTCACATAATCCTGAAGTGGAAGGAAAATGATAAATGGTTTTCAAAATTGTTTACAAATATCTGAAAAGTGTGGCGTGCATTTGTGTTCAGCTCCCTTTACTCTAATACCTCTAATTAAAATCTAGGGGAGCCAACTGCCTTCAGAAGTCACCTTATTAGTAAATCTCACCTGTGTGTAAATTAATCTCAGTATAAATACAGCTGTTCTGCGAAGTTTATTAAGGTTTATTAAGAGTTTATTAAGAGAACATTAGTGAACACACAGCATCATAATGGCCAAGGAACACACCAGACAGGTCAGGGATAAAGTTGTGGAGAAGTTTAACACAAGGTTGTGTTATAGATAAAATATCCCAAGCTTTGAACATCTAATGGAGCACTGTTCAATCCATCATTGGAAAATGGAAAGAATGTGGCATATCTGCAATACTACCAATACATGGCCGTCCACCTAAACTGACAGGCCGGGCAAGGACGGCATTAATCAGAGACCTAGCCAAGAGGCCCATGGTAACTCTGGAGAAGCTGCAGAGATCCACAGCTCATGTGGGAGAATCTGTCCACAGGACAACTACTAGTTGTGCACTCCACAAATCTAGCAGTTATGGAAGAGTTGCAAGAAGAGAGTCATTTTTGAAAAAAAGCCTTAAGAAGTCCCGTTTACAGGTTGCGAGAAGCCATGTGGGGGACACAGCAAACGTAAAAAAAAAGTTGATCTGGTCAGATGAGACAAAAATTTAACTTTTTGACCTAAAAGCAGAACGCTATGCGTAGCAGAACGAACACTGCACATCACCCTGAACACACCATCCCCACCGTGAAACACGGTGGGAGCATCATGTTGTGGGGATGCTTTTCTTCAGCAGGGACAGGGAAGCTGGTCAGAGTTGATGGGAAGATGGATGGAACCAAATACAGGGCAATCTTAGGGTGTGTACCCAAGATATCTATCAGGGCCCACAAAGGGCCTCGAATCCGTGGATAATATAGCAGATGCCGGGACAGGAAGAGCCATCCCGAAGCCCATCCAAAATTCAAGATTTGGCGTTGTAGGATGCGCAATGTGTGGGATGGAATACAAATGGGGAGTACCTGTAAGGGATGAAGTAATTTAGGGAGGTACGACATATTAATTGCGTGAGCTCGGCCGAACCAGGACAGTGACATAGCGTGCCAAGATGAGATTAATTTGTTCAGGTGGTGAAGTAAGGGTGGGATATTTGCTTGATGTAATGAATCATAAGATAGCGTGAGTAGTACGCCCAGATAGGAAAGTGTAGACGTCCATTGGAATGGAAATTGCATTTGAAGATGCTTTTGAGTCGACAAGGGGAGAGAGAGATTCATAGGCACCAATTTAGTTGGGTTAACATGTAGGCTTGAAAGATGCGCAAAGTGTGTGAGAAGCTTTATAAGATTGGGAAGAGAGACGTGTGGGAGGAGAGATATAATAAGATGTTGTCCGCAGAAAGTGCAACTTTGTGGTGTAGCCCTGCCAACTTTAGACCTTTGATGTCTGGGTGAAACTGTATGTGAACAGAAAGGGGCTCTAGGGCCATAATGAAAAGGATAGTGTTAAGGGGACAACCCTGACGGGTTCCCCCCTGTATCGGAAATAAGATTCTACCCCATGGTATTGTACCGTCACCGAGGGGGTACAATAAAGCTTGTAGATCCATTGCAAGAGGTGGATCCATCCACTGAAGTAAAATTACAGCTTTTTTGATAAAGCCCATCATTCTGTTGTTTTCAGAAAAAAGCAATGAGGCCTTTAAAGAAAAGAATACAGTCAAATATGGTAGATGTTTACTGATGTTTTGGGGTTGCCTTGCTGCTTCAGGCACTGGATGTCTTGACTGTGTGCATGTTATGAAATCTGAAGACTACCAAAGATGCCGGGGTGCAATTTGGTCCCAGTATAAGAAAGTTGGGTCTCCGTCAGAGGTCATTGGTCTTACAGCAGGACAATGACCCAAAGCACACGTCAAAAAGTACCCAGAAATGGTATAATGCAAAGTGTTGGAGAGTACTGGCCAGCAATGAGTCCAGATTTGAATCTCATAGAGCACCTGTGGAGAGACCTCAAGACAGCAGTTGGGAAAAGGACCCTTCCATTCAGAGAGTATTGGAGCAGTTGGTGAAAGAAGAGTGGTCCAAAATTCCAGTGGAAATGTGTAAGAAACTCATTGATGGTTACAGGAGCGATTGATTTCAGTTATTTTTTTCCAAGGGGTGTGCTTCAAAATATTAAATTAAGGGTGGCAATAATTTTTTCTAGTCCATTTTTGGAGTTTTGTGTGGACTATGTCAGATTTGGCTTTTTCTTTTTTGGCTTTTTGTGTCATAACAATGCAAACAAAAGAAATAACATGAGAATACCTAAACATTTATAATTGCAACAGTTTTCTGGGCGAAGTGGTGCATTATCTGACAGAAATGCAGGGGTGCCAATATTTTTTGGCCATGATTGTATGTGTTTTTACAGTTGGGGGAGGGAAACTCTGGTGCCATTCCAATGTTTTTTTTGTTTTTTTTTTTTTCTCCCTATGTGACCACATGTTCCTGTTATCTATGCTATGTTATCCTCAACCTACACAAACCAATATCCTTTCTTTCAAATATAAAAACACTTATTTGCATAATTTCTCTCTGAGCACTCCTTTCATTCTCTTTGGCTTATCTCTTCCACACTCCTGCCACAGTAGTAGCTGACGCAATAAGCCACTGCTGTTTGGTTTTCTTTAGCCCAAAGGGGATTCTTGTAGCATAGTGATACTATAATACTTCCCATGTGTCGGCATCACCTCCCTATTACATCTTAAAACTTTGCAGTGGCACCCTATTCCTAGAGTCTATAGCAGGGTTCAGCAACCTTTTAGGCCTCTTGCACATTGCAGCTTGAAAACTCTCAGTTAATCTAAAATGCACCCATTGTTTTTACAATGCGCCTCTACACTCAGGTGCATAAACAAGCTATTCATGTTGATCAGTAAAAAAAAGAAATCTGAGTTGGTGGTCAGTATTTACTCACAAATATGTGCATACGTCCTGCTTGTGTGTGCATACCCTCAAATGCTTGCAAATAGGTGTAAGTGATCTACAGCCCATCCTCCCATTTTTTTTTTTTTTGCCAGGAATGTCTGATGCTCACACATCAGTACAGTGTGCAAGAGGTCTTTCGCATTAGGTGTCAATTTACAAGCATTAAACAAATGGTGCTAATGAATAATAGTGCACCGTTGTAAAAAAAAAAAAAAAAAAAAAACACTATAAATATATATATATATATATATATATATATATATATATATATATATATATATATATATATATATATATATATATGCGTGGGGTTTTGTTTTTTTTTTTTGCACTTCATTAATACCAGCCCTAATTCATGCACCCTCAGATCAGCCCTAATTGATAACCTTTAGACCTCAGATCAGCCCCAATTCTTTTGTCTTTAGACATCAGATCAGATCAGTTTTACACCTACAGAATGTGGGTTAGCACTAGTTCATGCTCCTACACCAGCTCTAATTTCTGTGCCTTCAGATCTCAAATCCGCATCAATCCATATACGTCAGATCGTAGATCAGCCCCAGTTTATACATTTCTACCTTAAAGTGATACTAAAGGCATATTTAAAAAACCAAAAAAAACTTACCTGCTGTGTGCTGTGGTTTTGCACAGAGTGGCCCCGATCCTCATCTTCTCGGGTCCCCTGCCAACGCTCCTGGACCCTCCCTCCTGTCGAGTGCCCCCATAGCAAGCAGCTTGCTATGGAGGCACCCGAGCAGGTGCATTACTGAGATGCTGCTCCGTGTGTTCATTTACACACAGAACCGCGACTTCGCCCCGGCCCCTCTCTCTCTCTCTTTGATTCACTGACTTTTACAGTTGCAGCCAATGCTATTGCATACCAGTGCAGAAGGCATTGCATGCTTGTCCAGGCACACATACCAGGGGTTTCTGACTCCGATATATAGGATTGTAGTGACAGCACAATTGTATGGTGTGACATGCTTCACAGAAAAGAAAAAAAGTCCACTCGTGCCAGAGTACCCCAAAGAGCTGTAGAGACGAGAGGTAAGCAGACAAGTGAGAGCTATAACCATTCATCTACTACAATCTGCAGACATAGGCATGTGATTAATTGCATGCCACCAGCAAAGGTGAGAGGACAGCTTCTTCTTTTTTTTTTTTTTTTTTTTTTTTTTTTTTTTTTTTTTTTTGTTTTGTTTAGCTGTTGGGAAGTTTTAGATTGGTGATGTTCTGGTGTAAGAGAGTGCTCCATGAAAAGTGGCGCAGTATACCTTTTTATAATGTTTAAGGATTGGCATTGTGCACATATGGCAACCGTGAAATGGACATTTTAAAGGATGATGCATATGTTAATGAAGTGTTGGGACCTTGTACTGCTGAGTAATAAAAGGTACATTCGTACAGGAATTAGTGACAGCAGTGAAAAAGACCTTGGGGTTGATTTACTAAAACTGAAGAGTGCAAGCTGTGCATGGTATCCGATCGACTTCTAATTTTAGCTTATTTGGTTAAGTTTGACCCAAAAAAAACCCCTGAAAGCTGATTGGTTTCTATGCACAGCTGCACCAGATTTTGCATTGTACCGTTTTAGTAAATCAACCCTTGTCATGACTTATTAAACCTATCACTTCTACTGCTTGTCCTCTACATTGCCACAATCACCTTTTCCAAGATTTACTTTCCAATGGTAAGATGCTTAATGTCCTAACTTTTGTAACTGGAACCATGGCTTGGGGAAACCCACTGTCTCCAGGCATCATCTTGAGCACATCGCTCTGCTGAGGACAGGCACACCACAGCCGCTACTCTGCTTTAATTGGTGTATTTATATATAGCATTGGTTTATAATGGAATGTGTTAAAACCTGACTTGTTTTTCACTTTGTTTTAGTTGATGGATCAAGTAGAAGGGCAAAGATTGCTTGCAACATTTACAAAGTTCCACCTGGTAATCATATGGTTGTCATGAGTTACATATGCAGACAAACAATGGCAAAAAGTTCTGAAACGCTGGTCAATGCACGTGTAAAAATAGTTAACTGCAATGAATCCTATATATATCTGTTGTCTCCTTTAAGGTGAGATTGTTATACATAGATAACTGGTAATATTTTAGCGTAAAGTATTTTATACATACATTGTATTGAAACAATAAGTATCTTCAATCAATTTGATCAAATATTTCAGCATGTATACCGAATTACAAGCTTGTCTTTATTAGTAACAGGAAATTTATTGAACATTTATTGTGTTCATTACAAGAATATCTTTATTTTTCAATGTATTTTTCATTTTAGCAGTGTTGCAGCTGGACAACTTTGATTTGGGGGATATTGGGTACATCTGGACACGAGCACAAAGTTATGCCTTTTCTGAGTATTTTTATACATCAAACCTATCTGAAGTTTGGTTACTTAATTCTTTAAGGTACTTTAACCAGTTCTCTACCGCACTATAGCTGGAGGACGTCTACAGAGCGGTTTTCTGGTTCTGGGACGACGTCCATGGATGTCATTCCAGAACACGCCCCCAGTGGCACGCATCCAGCGCGCTGGTGATTGCTGTGTCCTATGGACACAGCTGATCACGTGATACAGTAAATGGCCAATCACAGCGGCCTTTTACCACGTGATACAGTAAATGGCCAATCACAGCGGCCTTTTACCACGTGATCCGCTATGTCCAATGACACAGCAGATCACCGGCTAAATACAGTTGCCAGTTATTGGTTGCACTTTCCTCACGCTGTCACAGCGTGAGGAAAGTAATGCTGATAACTGGAAATTGTCAAAGAAGTGATCGGCACTGATGACCAGTGTCACCCACCTGTGCCCTGCAGTGTCACCCACCTGTGCCCATAAGTGCTGCCTAGCAGTGCCACCTCTGCTTCCTATCAGTGCAGCCTCATCAACGCACATCCGTGAAGGAGAAAAATTACCTGTTTGCAAAATTTTATAATAGAAACAAAGAAAACCTTTTTTTAAAATATTTAGCTTTTTTTGTTTATAGAGCAAAAAATAAAACACCCAGCGGTGATTAAATACCATCAAAAGAAAGCTCTATTTCAGTGAAAAAATTATAAATTTTCATATGGGTACAGTGTTGCATGACCGCGCAATTGTTATTCAAAGTGCGACAGCTGAAAATTGGCCTGGGCAGGAAGGAAGTATAAGTGCCCAGTAGGCAAGTGGTTAAGTAGAATAAAACCCAACTAGTCTTAAAAATGTCCCTGATGGTTTAAAACGAGTGGATAAAAAAATGTGAAATAATATGAAACCACTTTCAACAGGCTTGTGTTTACTTCTCTCCTGACTGCTATATCTCTCCCGATATAAATCTATGGGAGTGCAGAAGTCAGGTCAACTGCACCTGCAATGAATTCAAAGCATCTTAAAATCATGTTCGAATACTAATCAGCAGCCCAACCGCTGACTGAGAAAAATGTTCCAACAATCCCACTCAACGAAAGTAATTCATGAGATAGACATGTGTTGAGTGGGAACGACAACACATAAATCAAAATTCATGCGGTCCCTGAAGAACTGGCCAAATTTAGTTCCATTTATGACCAGCCTTAGAGACCAGACAAATTGTATATGCTTCCCAGGAGGTTTGTGCAGTAGTACCAAGTAAAGGAAGACGATCATTCTAGTGATCTTGGTGTCCACAAATTGTCTTGGTACTAGAACACCCTTGGACCCCTGGGAGACACTTCAGACCAAGGTCTAGTCTTCCATCTTGCTCCACATTTGCTGGCTTTACCAAATTGGCTGTTAAAACCTGTGTCCTAAAATATGGGGGTCTCTGACATTTCTATGTTGCTGAAGCCTAGAAAATCGACCTGTTGCAAGGTGTTTTGCTGCCCTTTAAGACTTTGGATAGTGTGCAGCACAGACATATCATTGTAGATGATCCTACGTGGAACATATCCTTTTCTTTCTCCAGTCTGGGCTGGAGCAGCATTTTGCCTTGAGTACAATGCCCCTCTGTTTGTTCCCCTGGCTTGCTTTGGGATCTCAATTTGGTCTTGTCGTTTCTACAGAAACCTTCTATTGAGCTCATTTGGTATATTCCCTTGGTTGATTTTGTAAGGTTCTTTTTCTCATGGTCTTTACGACAGCGAGATGGTTTCAGAACTGCTGCCTTACCCTGGTTCTTCAGATACAAGTTGGATCTGAGGCTTGGGGCTTCTTTCCACCCTAAGATGCTTTTATCCTATCACCTTAATCAATATTTTGTCACACTTTCTCTGCTTCCTCTTGCTAAGCACCACAAAGATACAGTATATCTCTACATTGTTTGTTTAGATGTGGTATGTGCAATGCCATCTGAACTTCAGATTCTCTATTTGTCCCGCCTGCGGGCCCTCGTAAAGGATGTCCTGTATCTTCTTCCACCATTTTTAGTTGGTTTAGGCAGGTTATCACTAAGACTTGCATCTTGGACGATAGGACTCCTCCTTTCCCTATTAAGGCTCACTTCACTAATTCAGTCAGTGCTTCTTGGTCTTTTCAGCACCAGAAATCTTTTTCTCGTATTTTGCAAGGCTGCCACCTTGGTCCTCTAATCACACGTTTGTGAAGTTTTTAATGGGTATGGATGTTCAGGCCTCTGCTGACACCAGCTTCAGCTGCAACGTGCTTCAACCCGCTCTTTGCGGTTTCATGCACAATAGTGTTTTTTAAGCTCCTATAAGCTGCTATTAGCATTTTTTTTCTGCTCCTAGAAGCTAAATGGTGTTATCCTATGTGTCCATGCAAACTATGTTAGATTATTAGCATTTTGTGAGCTTCAAAAATAGTTTTTGTAGAGTTTTGTGGAGCGTTTTTCCAGCAGAAAAAAATGCTTAATGCTACTAAGAAGCCCCTAACGGCTTTTTTTTGTAGCTTTTTTTTTTTTTTTTTTTTTTTTCCTACATATACTGTAAATTATGACCTGAGTGATGCCCTGACATCTTACCTACTTTTTTTTGTTTTTTTTTTAGCAGTGAACATACATTCCACATTAATAATTATGCTACCAAAATTAGTGTGTTCTGTAAATTCCCTTCTGCATGGTTCCTGTTTCTTTATTGCTGGAGGCTGTCATTTTGCTGAAGCCCAGAGCCCTTGAGCAGCAGTAAATCTTTAGGCTGTCAGTAAATTGGCCAACACATTTTCGTTACAGTCCTAAAAAATAGAGATCAACTAAGCATGTGCAGAGCAGGGTTAGTCAGTGTATTACTAGATTTAAACAGCATACAAACTTATACTTTTTAATGTTTTACATTGCTATACCTGCAAAAGGGACCAGACTCCAGTGACCTAGCTGGACATAATTTTCTGACTAAAGTTCCACTTTAAATGTTTGAATTTGCATTCCAGCCATCTGGAGGCAGAAATCCCCTCCTACTTTACCTATTTGGTTTGCAAAAATCAATGAGCTGCAACATATGGAAAGTCTCACAGCCTCCTTGAAAGGTAGAGAGGAGAAATGTCGACATATCTGGTTCTGCTAGATGGAGCTTATGAAGCCATTTTGGATCAGATAGATTTCTACCCTTTGCTCACTTGTACGATCTTTTCATATTTGTTTTTTATTTCTTTAACCACTTGCCCTCCTGAGGATTTACCCTCCTTCCTGACCAGGCCATTTTTTGCGTTATGGCGCTGTGTTATTTTAACTGACAATTGCGTGGTCATGCAATGCTGCACCCAAATTAAATTTATGTTTTTTTCCCCCACGAGCTTTCTTTCGGTGGTATTTGATTGCCTGTGTGTCTTTTATTTTTTGTGCTATAAAAAAAATACTGGCAATTTTGAGAAAATATTTTTGACTTTTTGCTATTAAATATGTCCAGTAAAAAGATTTAAAAGAAATCAAAATTGTCATAAATTTAGGCCAAAATGTATTCTGCTACGTGTCTTTGCTAAAAAAAAAAAAAAAAAAAAATCCCAATATGTATAAATTTAATTGGTTTACGTGAAAGTTATAGCATTTACAAATGGCGGTATAGATACTGGAATTTTTTCTTAATATTTTTATTTTTTATTTTTTACTAGTAATGGCAATCAGCAACTTATAGTGGGACAGCGGCGGGTATTCTAACACTGGGGGAACTGACTTGGTGTCACTGACATCCCCAGTGTCACCAATACAGTGATCAATGCGGAAAAAAAAAGCACTGACGTACTAATGGCACTGGGAAGGAAAGGGTTAACAAGAGGGGCGATCAAAGGGTTAACAGTGGACTGTGTGTTGTTTTACTATGTGCTGTCTCCGTGTGCTTCACTGTAAGCACACTGCTTTGCATAGCTGTGCACAGCCAAGCAAAGCAGTGTGCACGAGCTGACACGGAAGAGAACTGTATTGTTTACATACAGTTCTCCTCCCCTTCGGAGATGCTCGGCATTTACCGGGAGCCAGCGCGTAATCACTGGCCGGGATCCGGTGATTGACATCCGCGAATAGTGGCGCAAGTAGGGCGGAGGCGCCCCCTACCCACGAATGCACAATCACGTGTATACAGGTGAAACTCGAAAAATTAGAATATCGGGCAAATCACAATCATGGGAAAGACTGCTGACCTGACAGTTGTGCAGAAAACCATCACTGACACCCTCCATAAGGAGGGAAAACCTCGAAAGGTAATTGCAAAAGAAGTTGGATGTTCCCAAAGTGCTGTATCAAAGCACATTAATAGAAAGTTATGTGGAAGAAAAAGGTGCACAAGCAGCAGGGATGACCGCAGCCTGGAGAGGATTGTCAGGAAAAGGCCATTCAAAAGTGTTGGGGACTTTCACAAGGAGTGGACTGAGGCTGGAGTCAGTGCATCAAGAGCTACCACACACAGACGGATCCAGAACATGGGCTTCAAATGTCATATTCCTCTTGTCAAGCCGCTCCTGAACAAACGTCAGAAGCGTCTTACCTGGGCTAAAGAAAAACAGACCTGGTCTGTTGCTCAGTGGTCCAAAGTCCTCTTTTCTGATTAGAGCAACTTTTGCATCTCATTTGGAAACCAAGGACCCAGAGTATGGAGGACGAATGGAGAGGCATGCACTGCAAGATGCTTGAAGTCCAGTGTGAAGTTTCTACAGTCT